GGACTGGTTGTATCTCCTTGCTTTCCAAGGGACTCTCAAGAGTCTTCTCCAACACCACAGTTCAAAAGCATCAATTCTTCAGTGTGTTAACAGCTCAGTGAGCTGGATGGGAGGCACAGAGGGCAAGAGGGCCTCAGGAGAACAGGACGGGGGTGAGGAAGGAAGGGCTGATGGAGGAGTTGGGAAGGGTGGACACCCGCCTCCTAAATTATCAGGTACCCCTTGCTCTCCCTCATCCAGCAGGCCTGCGCCTGGTGGGTGTGTGTTGGCCTCATGGCACTCCCCCCCACCCCGACCCCTGCATGTGACATCACCCGGTGAGAGCTGCAGGCAGTGGGCAAGGCCAGAAGGAATCCTCGTGCAGTTTCCTCAAAGCTGTACTTATCCTTTGTCCATGATCACGTCTGCCACACCTGCCTGGGGCTCTGCCACCTAGGTACACACCCCCGACCAAATGGGCTCTATTATTCGGCTCCTTGGCTAGAAGCCCAGAGGAGTCCCAGTACCTGGGCCGGGTCTGGGGGCAGTGCACATTGCCATTTGTGGTGGAAAGGACAGTCAGTGTCTCCCCAAGGAGACCCTGCAGCGGGTGTCAGTGCATCTGGGAGTCTGGCCCCTCCCCCACCGCCCAGGTTTAGGGAACCAGAGTTGGGAGCTGCAGTAACTAATGACCTGGAAGGATGGGAGTGCTTGCAAACCCCATGAACCTATGGCTGAGGGTCTGGCTTCCGGCCTGGAATGCTTTGGACCCATCATGCAGCCTCTTGGGCCCCATGTCCACTTCCCTGGAGTGGCTGGCAACTCCTCTCCATGTCCTGGAGATTCCAGGGCTGGGGGTGGGACAGTGGGGGCATCACAGGTGAAGAAGTGCATAGAACTACCTGTGGGTTCAGTTTTAGCAGCCATGTGACCCCAGGAAAGAAGCTTCTCCTCTCTGAGCCTCAGTTTTCCCAGTTGTAAAATGGGCTTAATAATACCTACTCCTCTCAGAGCATCTGTGTACGTTGCGGAAGGTCAGGTGCACATTGGGTGGTTCATGCTCCCTCATGGTTCCTGTCTCTGCCCCAGCTCCAATCACGAGTCTGCTGGCTGGTTCTGGAGATACATCTGCTTCCAGGTGCCTAGACCCCAGGATCCTCCCCAGCCATGGGCATATACCATTTCCCCTCCTTGCTTCACTTTGGGGAGCCCATGGGGAGTCCAGATGTGAGATCTGGCATTTGCAGCAGTGGGTGCATGACCCACCTTCGTTGATAAATCCCATGTCTGGGCCCCCTCTATCCCGGGGCCATGGGAACAGGTGGTGGAAGGTGTGGCAGTGTTTACTTTGCCTCCATGTAGAGAGAAAACTCAAATTTTGAACACAGTTCAGACAGGATCTCAAATATCAAATAATCTGGCACCTGGGAAAGTATGTCTGTGGTCCCACTGGTCTAGGAAAGCCTTGAGCTTCCGGGCTTGTGCACTACAGTTCAGTTCAGTTCACTTGTTCAGTTGTGTCCAACTCTTTGTGATCCTATGGACTGCAGCACACCAGGCCTCCCTGTCCATCACCAACTGCCGGAGTTTACTGAAACTCATGTCCATTGTGTCAGTGATGCCATCCAACCGTCTCATCCTCTGTCATCTCCTTCTCCTCCCATCTTCAATCTTTCCCAGCATCGGTGTCTTTTCAAATGAGTCAGTTCTTCACATCAGATGGCCAAAGTATTGGAGTTTCAGCTTTAACATCAGTCCTTCCAATGAACACTCAGGACTTATCTCCTTTAGGATGGAGTGGTTGGATCTTCTTGCAGTCCAAGGGATTCTCAAGAGTCTTCTCCAACACCACAGTTCAAAAACATCAATTATTCAGTGCTCAGCTTGCTTTATAGTCCAACTCTCACATCCATACATGGCTATTGGAAAAACCATAGCCTAGACAGACCTTTGTTGGCAAAGCAATGTCTCTGCTTTTTAATATGCTGTCTAGGTTGGTCATAACTTTCCTTCCAAGGAGCAAGCATCTTTTAATTTCATGGCTGCAATCACCATCTGCAGTGATTTTGGAGCCCCCCAAAATAAAGTCTACCACTGACATTGTGCACTACAGGACTTCTTAAAAGCCTTTATCAGGTGGCTCTGGATGGGAGGTGAAGTTTCAGGTCCTGTCCTGGCTTGCAGGCTGTGCACAGTCTTGGAAGCCCCTCTCTGGCCAAGCACCTGGCAGCAGTGTGTATGCCCCTAACTCAGATAGAAAGTGGGGAGCGGGGGCGGCTCAGTGCTGGAATCCCCCTGCCCTAAGCATCAGAATCTGGCTCCTATTGGAAACAGGCTTGGAGCCAGCCTGGCCTGGTCAGAGTCCCAGCTCTGTCTCATTCACTCATCCATTTATTAACTAGCTGTCACTGAGCATCTACTGCGGACCAAGCTCTGTAGCACTAGGTACTAGAGATACAAGTGATGAGCAAGATAGACAAGAAAGAGCAAACAGAGAGAAATGGATGACAAGCAAATCACAGGGTCATCTCAGACAATGTTAAGTGCTTTCAAGTTTATTACATAAGGTGCCATGGGAGAGGAGATGAATGGGGAGGTTAATTTTGGTTGGGTGGTCATGGAAGGCTTTTTAGGAGAGGGGAGATTTGGATTAAGACTTGAGAAGGGGGACTTCCTGATAGTCCAGTGGCTAAGACTCCATGCTCCCAATGCAGGGGGCCTGGGTTCAATCCCTGGCTGGGGAACTAGATCTCACATGCTGCAACTAAGAGTTTGCATACCATAGCTAAAGATCCCACATGCCGCAGCTAAGACTGGGCACAGTTAAATAAATAAGTATTAAAAGAAAAATAAAAAAGTCTTGAGATGGAACCAGTCAGGGAAAGAACTCAGAAAGAATGTCCTACGCTGCGGGGAAAGCATGTGCAAAGGCCCTGATGTGTGTCTGGGGATAGAAAGAAGACTAGCGCACGGAGTTGGTGTAACCAAGGAAGGGTGGGGGAGACACAAGGTGGAGGAAATGGAGCGGGGTCACTAGCTTGTTATTTTGGCAGTCATGCTTCTCTCAGAGCATCAGTTATCTGATTTATGAGGCTTATCACTTTGCCCCCGACCTCCACCCTGGTCGGGAGTGTTGTGGGTGTTAAGTGAGAATCTTTCCGGCAGAGACTGGGTTATGGCCAGCTATGCGCTACTGTAGGTGTTGTTTTTTTGTTGTTGTTGTTATTATAAGTGCTTAGTACTATGGGTGGGACCTGGGATCCTGGGCCTCCTTCTCTGCATGTGGCTGCAGTTAGTGAGCACCAAGTGTGTGTACAAGGCCAGGGGTGCCCCATCTGTGGCCCCCGCTCTGGCTCCCCTGAACCACAGCCCCCCGCCAGCTCCTTTCAAGCCTAGGATCTTTTGATCCACAGCGACTGCCTTCTCTGGCCCAGCAGGCCCTGGAATCCTTTCCGGGCGAAGGTTCCACCGAGAACAGCAACTCCTTTCTTTGCTTTCTTTTCCTTTTCCTCTGGGCGCCAAAAATAGTGCCTGAATAGGACACAGCTCTGGGCCGCCAGTGAGACAATAGCTGCCTCCTGGCTCTGGTCCATCAGTGGGGGGAGGGGACGATGGGAATGCAGGGGCACACCATCCCAGGGACCCCAGCCCCTGCTGCCTTTCCCATGGCCTCGGCCAGAAACCATCCCAGAGCCCCTTGGAGTGTGATTGCCGAGGGGATCCTTGCTTATTCTGGGAAAGGGTTCTGAAACCCTGGGCTCCTCGGTGCTCTGAGCAGCCCCATCCTGGCTCTTGATCAGCTAGCTGCTGGTCTGGAGCCGAAGGCCCGGGTGGGGGCGCCCACGGCCCTGGTCCTCTTCTGGGCTCTGTATGGCACACAGAGGCCATCCCATGGCATTGATGCCCTTTTCCCTTTGACTCAATGGCTACAAAAGACTTTTCAGAGGTCAAAGAGATGTGTCCTCTTGAAATGAAGTGAGCCCCCTGTCAATGGACATAATCAAATAAAGTCTGGATGTACATTGGATGGGAGTGGGATTAGTCAAGCACCAGATGGACATTGGGTCTTGATGTCTTCATGCCTCAGAGGAGATCATGGTTTGAATTCCATACACCTCACTTACCAGTTAGGTGGCCTTGAACAGGTCACATAATGTGCCTGAGCCTCTGTCATTCCATCTGTAAGATGGGTTCAACAGGGCTAACCTTTAGAGTGGTGGAAATGGTTTCCAAAATGCCCAGTGGAGTGCCTGGCACACATGCAGGCTTTCAGAAGCTTTGCCTCTGTTCTCCTCCCTCCCCAGACTGGTACTTACTCTAGGGTACAGAAAGGACCCACTCTTGGCCCCTAGGGAGCTCTGGAGGAAAGCCAGGGTGAACCTCTGACCCCGGGGCTAATTCAGGAGAAAGATTCCTGCTGGGCTGTAGCTATCTGGGAAGGCTTCCTGGAGGAGGCACTCCTCTAAGACATTTCCAGGGAAGTATTGGGCACATGCTGTGTTCTTTTAACCCAGTGGTGGGGATTAGATGGGTATCCAGGGGGATCAAGCCCTAGGCCACAGGCTGGCAGCCTCATGGGCAAATGTAGCTGATAGCAGACATTTTTGTCACAAGGGTAGACCTCACTAGTGTTCTAAAAAGATTTGGATTTAAAGTAAATCTTGACAAACTTAGGCAGGTGTTCCCCATAACTTAGTGTACTAAACTCTGCCCTTCCTCCTGCCAGCTCCATGCCTGGCCAGCATCTGAGTAAGGGGACATGGGCATAGGACAAGTCAGGGGAAATGCGCTGTGCTGGGTTGGAGCTGGGTGGTGACGTAGTAGTCACTGCAGCTGCCAACGGTTGCCAGGGCAACGGTTGCCAGGGGTTGCTGTCACCTGCGCCCCTTTTCCCGGGCTGGCGGCTGGGGCTTGCCGCCCATCTTCCCGGGCTGCCGCTTTGTTTGAGGCTCTGGTGAGGGGGCAGGAGCCGGGGCTGGGGTAGTTCAGCTTCAAAGTGCCCCTCTGGCCTCTTGGACTAGGGAGAAGCTGACCCACCGTCCCAGCAGGCTGCAGCTTGCAAACAAGGCGAGCCCTTAGCCCACTTATTCACGCGCTTTATGTATTGATAATCCATTTGACGGCACGAAGGAGGAATCCAGGTATGATTCTTGTCCTCTCTGTCCATCCCTCTGACTCCCACTCCCCAAACCCCACCCCCACTTCTCATCCCCTCTTCCCTTTTCCTTGTCCACCTTCCCCCCCATCCCTCTCCCCCTGTATCACCTTCTACTCCCTCTGCCTCTCCCTTCCATTCCCCCAACCGACCTTCCTCCCTAAACTGAAAGCTTAGCTGATGGGTAGGGTGGGGTTGGGGCTGGCTGGCTGACATTAGGAGCTCAGAGGCAACTCCGAAGGGAACTGGTCACTAAATCAGACAGTAGCCCAAAGTGACGAGGAAGTGGTTGGGGGTAAGGGCCTCACACCCCACACTCCTTCCCTCAGCCACACTTCAGCAAAAATTCAATTTCAGTTTACGGGCTGTACCCCCGTCATCGAAGACAAGCCTCTGCCAGTGCTGGGAGTGGGTGTCCAGAGCCTGCAGAAGATAGAGAGCAAGAGTGTTGCTGGGAGGGGGTCCTGACAGCCCCCAGGACCAGGGTTTCTTCAGAGGAAGGGAATCAACTAATCCCAAGGAAACACATTTCTGGAAGCATCTTTTACTGGGAATTTTAAAGAGAAGCCCTTTCTAACAGGTAATGTCAAGCAGGAATGGACTGCAAAATCTAGAGCCTGTGTTCTGGAGCCAGGCCCCCAGGCTGCACCTCAAGCCGCGTGATCTCCAGCAGCCAACCTGATCTTCTAGGGCCTCTGTTTCCTTATTTGTTAAATGGGCAGAATGGTATTTGTCTCGGAAGATTTGGGGGAGGATTAAATGTGTTCCCTTGGGTAGAGAGCTTAGAATCAAGTCTTGCATCTTCAGAGAGCTTCATTTAATGCTAGCTGTGTGGCTGGAGGTGGTGAGCACCCTGCCCGTGGGGGTATGCAAGCAGTAGTGGAGGACCAGGTGAGGCGGTGCTGAGCGCTCAGTGAGCTGGGATGGGACCCTAGTCTGTGCCTCCACCGACCTTCCCCGGAGGGAGCTGGAACCTCAGGCTCACCCTGGCCCCCAGCCCCTGTGGGGGAGAATGCCTGGCTATGTGTCCGGTCTGCCCCTCAGCCAGGGATCTGGGACCCGGAGGAGGAGAAAAGAAAGGGAGGGCTGGTGGCTGACCTTGGGAATGCTAAGGGGTCCTATGCTCCAAAGGCGGGCGTTCTGCCAAAGCTCCGGGGAACTGAAATGCAGCCCCCAAAAAAATGAACAGGGAGGTAACTGGGCTGACCTTGTATGCCTGGCCTTGACCAGTTTGGGAACACAGATGCAGAAGGGAAACTGCAGCCAGACGGCTGAGGTCCGTCTGTGGTTTGAAAGGGAAGACAGGCTGGCCAGGAGGATGAGATGGCGAGCACCTTTTTCCTCCCCACTCGCTGTCAGCCAGGAGGTAAGCCCTTCCCTTCCCTAGAAGCAACCTGGGGATCTGGGCTATGGAGAAGACAGACAGGGGGACAGGGATCTTGTCATCTCCTCAGTAGAGGAGGAAGCTGAGGCCCAAAGACGGGACTGGCTGCTACAAAGGTACTAGGACCAGTTAGGTGCGGAGCTACTTTAGGACCCCATGGGCTTCCCTGATGTCTCAGGTGGTAAAGAATCTGCCTGCAATGCAGGATACTCAGGTTCAATCCCTGGGTTAGGAAGATCCCCTGGAGAAGGGAATGGCAACCCACTCCAGTATTCTTGCCTAGGAAATCCCTTGGACAGAGGAGCCAGGTGGGCTACAGTCCATGGTGTCCCCAAGAGTGGGATATGACTGAGCGATTAACACACATGTGTCTAACTCCTGCCACCCCTGCTCTGGGAGTGTGCATTCCCTGGGCAGGTGCTGACTGGTGAGGGCCCTGAGGCCCAGCTTCAGCTGCTCTTTGTGGGGAGGGCTGTGGGGAGCCCTGGCTGTGGGCTGCAGGGTGCCCCAGGGCCGTGGAGCTGGGCAGGGCTGGCGCCACTGTCCCAGGACTGCTCATGACAGGTCCTGTTGTCTGAACACCACCCCCAAACTGGGCAGACCCAGACCTTCCTAATCCCTCCCCTTCCCTGAGGTTCAAGATCTTTTCCATTCACACTCAGATTCTAAAAAGGTTGTGATTCTCAGCTTCTAAAAGCTCTTGCCTCCCCATCACTTTCTCTTTCTCTCTGCTCCTCCCTCGTTCCCTTTCAGTCCTAGCAATCTAAGTGTCTCTGCTGCTTGAGATGACTGTGGTTGACTTTAATGGCACAGCCAATCCAGAAACACGGCTGGTACTATCCCTTTCCCAAGGAGCTGGTGCTGCTGGCCAAAGGGAGGTGGGATGGGGCTGTCTTTACCCTAGGTTCCCCCAGGACCTCTGGCCTGGAAGTGTCAAAGATGGTGGTGAGTTGCCCTGGGGAACATCACAGCCTGAATGGCTCCTGTAGCCCATCTCCCGCTAGTTAATGGCCTTTGGGACAGCTCAGAGGGGAGGGGAGGGGAGCCGGCTGGAGGCTGGGAGGGGGAATGCTGACAGTTTTCTTATCTGCGTGTTGTCAAGATTTCTGAGACCTCCTTTTTTTCACATTGGTAACAGGTATTCTGTAAAAAAAGAAAAGCATGCACCATCATATTGGGCTGGGAAATTAAGCCCAACCAAGCTCTGTGGATTTTCTTTCTGCAGAACTTATCAGAGCCTTTGATATGTCCAATTCACACGACCAAGTAGGACCTGCAGTATTTCTCTAGCTTGGGAACTAGTGCTTCTTAGGGAGGAATTTCCCTGTTGCTCATACAGTAAAGAATCGCTTGCAACACAGGAGACCTGGGTTTGATCCCTGGGTCAGGAAGATCCTCTGGAGAAAGGAATGGCAACCCAATCCAGTGTTCTTGCCTGAAAAACCCCTCGGACAGAGGAGCCTGGTGGGCTACAGTCCATGGGCTTGCAAAGAGTCGGACATGACTAAGTGACTAAGCACACAGCTTCTTAGGAAGTGCTTGGCAAAGCTACCTCATGGTAAAGTCAGGGAGATAGTTCCAGAGAAGGGAGGGAAGGGGCTCTGGTGACCATAATGGCTGAAATCATGGGCTTTGAGGTTTGGTAGACTAAAGTCTGAATCCTGGCTTGGCTACTTACTTGCCTGGGCATCCCTTAGCCTCTTTGGATTTCCATTTCCTTTTTACATGGGGGCAATAATAGCATTTGCTTTATAGAGTTAAGGTGATGATTGAACAATCATTTGTGAAAAGTGCCTTGCACAGTTTTGGGTACCAAGTGAGTGCTCGCTGAATGGAAACTGTCACCCCCCACTCCCCTTCTTGGATTCCAGCTCCTTTTTGCTGTGCCAGCTAGACCTCTGTTTATTCCCACCGTCTGCTGTTCTGCCAGGCACTGCGAGGCTGGAGTGCAGGGCAGTCGGGGGAGGATGTGGAGGCTGAAGGCCGGTGTCTGGTCCGGGACCCCACTGGGGTCTGGTGGGGGTACCTCGTTTGTTTGTTGGGTACATGGTGTTTCTAAGTTAGACCTTTACAGATATGTCACAAGGCTGGCATCCAGTGGGGAGGACCGGTGTGTGCAGAGGTTTGGAGGAGGGCACACTCAAGCCCAGGCTCATCACTGGTGATGGTGTGTTGGCCTCTCTGAGGCCTCTTAAGCAAACACTGTGGTTGCAGATAAAGCAGGTGGCAGGGTGGGCGGCTCTGGACAACTGGCTCTCGGGGGAACCCGGCGTCCTTCACCTGGCCAGGTGCCCCTCTCCTCCCCTTTATAGGTCTCCCCACAGGGCCGGGCCCGTCCGAGCACGTGGAGGGAGCCGTGGCCCGGGGACCTGCTGGACGGAAGCCGAGGGGCGGCGGGGCCCGCGCTGGCGGGGCAGCGCTCCGGAATGTGGGACTCATCCTGGGCAGTGAGCCGGCAAGGCCTTGGCACCCGCTGGCCTCTGGGAGGCAGGCAGCTAGCTTAATTTTTATTCTCTTTAATTGTAGAAAAATTCCTGGAACCTGAAGTCACTCTGTTTTCCCCGGCCAGGCCAGAACACCCTTCCTGGGGGGAGTTCTGTGTGGTCACCTAGCTTGGGCCTCAGTCACCCGGCCTGTGACTGATGGGGGGGTGGGGGGAGAGATGGACTCCATGTATGTAAGCAGTGTCCCCTGGAGCCCCGGGCTCTGCTGAGGGGCTGGGGGCCCGGCTGAGCGTGAAGTGCGGTCGGGGGTCCCACCGGGGTCTGGTGGGAGCACCGCCTTTGTTTGTTGGGTACATGGAGTTTCTAGGTTAGACTGCTTTTATGAGAGTTTGGAAATGGCTGGTGGAGGGTCCTCTCAGCTCCCCACCCTACCCCCATGGGGGAAACACCTGCTGCAGAGCCTCCGCTCTGTTCCAACGTTCCTCCTCACTCCCCTACACACCGCACACATGAGCGCACACACACGTGCATGCACACCTCATGTGTGTGTGTTCTAACGTTCCTCCTCACTCCCCTACACACCCACACACATGAGCACGCACACACGTGCATGCACACCTCATGTGCGTGTGTTCTAATGTTCCTCCTCACTCCCCTACACACCCGCACACATGAGCGCACACACACGTGCATGCACACCTCATGTGCGTGTGTTCTACCCTCAAGGACTTCACGCTCACCCACCCCTCTCTTGGCCAAATCCTTCTCCCCTAAGGCCCTCTGTCCAGGGCTGGGAGCGGGGAGCCAGCATCTCCATGTTGTCCCCCCTCCGTTGCCCCCACTGCCCCCATACTGACCAGTAGCTGAAGATGAAGCTGGAGCTGGGAAGCTGGACTGGGTCCTCCCGCTGCTGGCCCTCCCCACAGGAGGGCAAGACCAGGCTCATACCTGGAGACGCGCTGGGGCAGGGGCTCCCTGCCCCACGCCCCCCTGCTCCCAGCTGTGCTTGGGGAGGCCCCTTCCAGGTTCCAGGCACCCTGCTAAATGCTAGGTGAGCCACCCAGGACTGTGATTCATCTTCACCACCACTGAGGTGGAGACGAGACACTGCGGGGGAGGCAGGCTGCCCTGGCTCCCGTCCAGAGCTAACCATTTACCACCCGAGTGATCTGGGGCCGGGCCCCACCTGCCTCTGACTCTGTAAGACAGGGCTCCTGGTGTCATCCCAGCCTTGTAAGCCAGTGGTTCTATGCCCGCGGAGTGTTGGTCAACGGGATGCCTGGTCAAGCTGGACTCCCGAGCCCCGCACCAGACCTGGAGTATCTTCCCCCACGCGTTATTATTGTTTATTCACTCAGCCCAACTCTTTTGCGACCCCATGGACTGTGGCCCATCAAGCTCCTCTGTCTATCGGATTTCCCAGGGAAGAATACTGGAGTGGGCTGCCATTTCCTTCTCCAGGGAGTCTTCCCAACTCAGGGATCCAACCCGAGGCTCCTGTCACATCTTCTGCATGGCAGGTGGATTCTTTACTGCTAAGCCTCTCACACATATTCTATCACAAAACGTTAATGTATCCCTGACAGTACCTTGTACGTATGTGTGCAAGTGTTTTCATCCTAATATTACTACTCTCCTGGCAAAAAAAAAAAAAAAAAAGAAAAAAAAAATGGAAAAAAACCCCATCAGACTCATAGCAGCTACTGGGTAAAATTTTTCCCCTACTTCTGATTTGCTGAATGAAGAAAAAAATCTTTTGTGCTATTTTCAGAGATACTGAATGTCAGTGTGGAGGGATCTGTGATAATGCATTTCAGTGAACTTCTTGGGGTGGTTCTGACCCATCGTGTGTTTGGGCACCTCTGATATGAACTTGTGGCAAAGGTGGGCATATAGGGTTGAGTGTAGGCTGTGGACTGCCCCCTTCCCCACCACACCAGGAACGCAGAAGTTAATTCTGATGGCAGTTAGGGAAAGCTTCAAGGGGAGGGCGTATCTTCACTGAGTTTCGAAAGCTGAGTTGGGTCATGCAAAGAGGGAGGCATTCCAGGCAAAGAGGCTGGTCAGGGGATGGATAAGTCTGCAGCCCACAGTGTATGTTACTGGCAGGAAAAGGCTTGGGAGCCTAGGTCATCTTCCTGGGGAGGCGCCTGCCCGGGAAGGGTTAACCCCAGAGCCACTCAGGTCCTGTCCACTCAACTTCCACCTCCGTCCTCCGAGGAAATGGCTTTTCCAGGGGCCCGGACTGGGCCAGCGGTGACTCGTGGCCCTATATGGATGGCAGAGGAAGTGAGTCAGGCCTCAAGGGAGAAAGTGAGCCACTGGTCCCCTGCCTGTTACCCTCTCCCCCACCATGAGGATGGGCAGGGCTGGGCCCACACTGGAACTGGGGTTATCTCCTCCTGGGCCCAGCCATCCTGGGGGATGGGTAGCCGGGAGTCTTAGCTTAGATGAGACCTGCCCCCTCCACCCCCCCACCCCACCCCCGGGCTCTGCCTGGATCCTTGGGGACTCTGTGATAGTGGCCCCCATTGTGTCAAACTGGGCCGGATTGTTTTGTTCTCTAAGTGTGTTTACGGAAGGCCTGAGGTCAAGGGCAGCTGCTCTAGAAGGAACGGGGTGGGGGGTGTAGGGGCCTCTCTTGGGGGCTCAGCCCCCTAAATTCTCTCTCGCAGGCTGGAGTTGCCTGCACAGCTTGTGGTCTTGGCTGTCACTCACCCACCATTTCTCTCTCCTTTTGTTTGGGGGTCTCCCCAAACCAGAGGAGCAAGCATCTCTAGAAACTAATGTCTCCAGCTCTCCAAGGAGTTCTCTAGAATAACACTGAGGTCCATGTCTTAGCTCCACCAGTGGGGAATCTTGGGACAGAGAGCCCTGCCCTAGTCTCTGTTTTCTCATCTGTAAAATGGCAAAGCAGCAGGACCAGCCTTACAGGATGGCTCTGAGGATTTCATGAGAGCGTAGATGGTGCCCCTCTCCAGCCCTCCTGTCTCTCAGAGGCTTCTGGGGACAGGCTCAGGTCCGTGCTGTGAGGTGGGAAGTTTTCTGGGTGGGGTTTCAGGCTTCCCAGCAAGGAAATTTCATGCTCGAAGAATTTCCGGTCAAGGCGCTTTGGAAGTTGAGCTGGCTGTGGGGGCACCGAGGGGGTGACGTGGAGGGTGGGAGGGAAGGTGTAGGAGTCGGGACCTGTGATGGGCCCAGGGGGTTGGGTGAGGGGCAGGCGTGAGCTGGCCGGGAAAGATGCAGAGGTATTTGGCCGACAGTGATGGCACCTGCCGTGTGCATGCTCCTGCTCTAAATCCTCCATGGATATCAATTCATTTAATTCTCACAATGACCCTTGTGGCAGTCTTCATTTTTATTCCTATTGACAGATGACAAAAGTGGGGCCCAGAGAAGGTGAGTAACTAGTCCAGAGACACACAGCCATAGAGTAGAGGAACTGAGATTTAAACCCAGACAGCCTGGCTCCAGAGTCAACTCTACTAAGGATGGGTTAAAAGAAACCAGGAAGCCCCTCCCCCTCAAATTCCAAGAAAGTCTATGAGGCTAGAGTTGTTCACCTTGGAGTGGCTATTCAAGCAGCCAGGGTAGAGTGGGGATGACCCAGGAATGTCAGAGCATGCCATTGATCCCTATCTGTTGGAATCATGGCATTTCACAAGTGCAGCCTCACTTGTATCCTTCTGGTGATGGGAAGGTCATTCCCTCTTTCTGCTTTTTCATTCTCAAAGAGATCAGTCCAGGAAGATAAATGAAAACAGATGACTCTGCCCTGTCCTGGGCACTGTTTACTGATAGTGGTAACTCACTTTGAAAGTCAGTGGGCTGGAGAGAAACTTGGATTCTGGTCAGCTCCATCCTTGCTTGCTGTGTGAGGTCAGGAATCACTGGCCACTCTGGGCCTTGAATGCAAATGCCATAATGAAGAACTGGGGCCATATTTGCAAAGTGATCTGTGAACTCTGAGTTCACAAGTATAAAGCAGAAGTCAAAATAGGGGTTGGGGAGTTGCCTGGAGGAGATGTCATTTGTACTGGGGATCAGGTATAGACAGTGACAGGGACTGGCAGAAAGGAAAAGGAAAGAGCAGGGGTCCAGGAGACATACTTCTGTCCTCAGATGCTGGGTTTCCTTCTACTGTTCTAGGGTGACAGTTTCAAAAGGAGCCAAAACGGGAGACACTGCTTTAGAAAGATCCTCGGCATTCTCCTTACTTCAAGTAATAAATCCTTCATTCCCCCTAAAAATAAAAACGAAAACACCAAAATCCAAAATGAACCAAAATGCTCAGAAAGGATGTAGAGTGAAACCTTAAAGATCACAATTTAGGAAATAGCAGCCATTCCCCCAAAGACTTTCACTTCTTTCTTCTCTGGGGTCTTGTGATCTCACCAGGGTAGGGTGATGAACCCAGCTGACCAATGATCAGACCGACCAGACCCAAGAAATTAGGGTTCTGTTATATATGTTGGGATACTGGAGACTGGCTTGAGGGGGCCAGGTTTGTTCAGTGAATTCCTGCCTGGGCCACCCCTTCATTTAATGCTGCCCTCAAATAGTCCATCCAAAAGTCACTTCCTCCTGGAAGCCCTCCTGGGTTCCCCCAAATCAAACTCTTCACATGCCCCATGGATGCCAGGCTTCCTTTTGTCTGGCTTGTGGCAAATGACTGCATCTGTCACCACAGACATATGCAGCTCCCCACAGGATGAGAGTGTCTGTTCATGATTCCCAGCACCCAACTCAGTCACTGGGCCAGATGGCTGTGGGGTGGGCCAAGCCACCCGGCCTCTCTCTGTTAAGTACCAGGCACGCAGGTTCCCTGCCAGGCACCATAGTGCTGATCAGGCAGGGAAAGCTCTTGTCCTCTGGAACAATTAAATGGGCAAGTCATTTAATTCCTTGGATCTCAGGTTCCCTATCTGTGAAATGGGTCAAATGGTAGGGCCTATTTCACAGGGTTGGAATGAAGATTAGCATAGGGGTAGGGGTGAGGAAGCTGGGTTCACACAGGCTGGCAGATAGTGGGTACTCAGCTAACAGAGGCTGGAGGAGTGACCCATTCTACTCCAGGAGAGGGCTGAGGGGAGCTGGATCCTCCGCAGCTTGGACCATACTGTTTCTCTCTGCCAGACTGGGACGTCCCTCTGCCTTTCCAGTTGCCTTGGGAACTGGCTCCCCCTGGTGGCCACACCAGGAAGTGCTTTTCTCCAGCCCCTGTAGAGGGCGCTGTGACCGCACTGATCTTTCACTCCAATTCCCCCTGCGGCCCGGCGGCCCAGTAACCTGTGTGAACACCAGGGCCTGTGCACAGCGATGGATCAGGAGCTCCGTGTGGAGGAGGGATGCATCTTCCTGTACCTCCCAGAGCTGGCTAACAGGAGACCCTGGCGGGAGGCGGGATCCAAAGGAGTCCAGGACTGACTGTAGAGGGCGTTGAGGAAGACTTCAGTAAGGAGATGTCCTCTGAGCTGGGTCTTAGGGATGATCATGGTGAGATTCCTGGAGGAGAACCCTGAGAGCATCCTTTTTCTTGTGTCTTCTGAAGGCCTGGAGGGGGCAGGGTGGGGTGGTTCCTGGTGATGCTATGGAGCTTCCCCCCCACAAATTCTACCCTGATTACCCCATCAGTGCTGGGTTGGAAGAGAGGTACTATTATTAGTCCTGTTTTCCCTGACTTACACAGGGTTATGCAGCAAGCGAGAGTTGGAGCTGGGACTTGAATTCAGACACTGCCTTTTTTTTAATTAAAAAATTTTTATTTTAAAATTTATTTTATTGAAGAATAGTTGATTTACAACATTGTGTTAATACTGCTTATAGCAAAGTGATTCAGTTATATAATACATATATATTCTTTTTCATGTTCTTTTCCATTATGGTTGATCACAGGATATTAAATATAGTTCCCCATGCTATACACTAGGACCTTGTTTTTTATCTATTCTGTATGCAATAGTTTGTATCTTCTAACCCCAAACTCCCAATCTATCCCTCCCCCACCCCCCTACCTCTTGGCCATCACAAGTCTGTTCTCTATGTCTGTGAGTCTGTTTCTAGTCTTCTAGATGTGTTCATTGGTGTCATATTTTAGTTTTCACATATAACATATACTCTATTTGACTTTCCGTGACTTGCTTCACGTAGTGTGGTAATCTTTAGGTCCATTCATGTTGCTGCAAGTAGCATTATTTCATCCTTTTTTATGGCCAAGTAGGATTTCAATGCATATGTGTACACATCTTTATTCATTCTTCTGTTGATGGACATGTTGGTTGTTTCCATGTTTTGGCTATTGTGAACGGTGCTGCTATGAACCTATGGGTGCGTGTATCTTTTTGAATTATAGTTTTGTCCAGGTATATGCCCAGGAATGGGATTACTGGATAAGATGACAGCTCTATTTTTAATTTTCTGAGAAATTTCCACGCTGTTCTTCATAGTGGCTGCACCATTTTACATTGCCAGCAACAGTGTAGGAGGGTTCCCTTTTCTTCACCCCTTCTCCAGCATTTGCTCTTTGTAGGCTTCTTAATGATGGCCATTCTGACCAGTGTGAGATGATACCTCATTGTAGTTTTGATTTCCATTTCTCTAGTAATTAGTAATGCAGAACATCTTTTCACATGCCTATTCATCTGCATGTCATCTGCATGTCTTCTTTCGGCCACTGCCTCCTGATTCTCCACTCCTGGCAGCTCTGGGGGAGGTCCACAGGCTGTTGCCAGCGTGCCTCTCTGCCTCTCATCCCATGACCATGCTACCCTGGTTTGTCCCTCTGTGGGACTGGTAGTCACCCTGGGGGTCAGGACCTCAGCTAACACTCCTGGCTTCTTTCAGGCGGTTATGTCTCGGGTGCCTTGGGGGAGGAAGATGACTGCCCAAGTGCTGCTGCAGATGCTGCTGTTCCTGCTAGGTCTCCTGCTGCTTCCAGGTAGGTTTTCCTGGAGGTGCCCTGGGACTTCTGTTAAAATGCCATCCTTGTGTTAAAGACCAGCACATCCACTAACCACTTTGGGCAGGCACAGGCCTGCAAATACAGCTTAGCAAGTAGACGGTACCTTGGAGAAAAGATTAAGGCTCCTCTTCTTTCTGTCAAATGCAGCCCCCCAGTACACAGCTTGGGGTGCATTTTGGCCCCACTCATCTCTGCAGCCAGAGAACCCTTGTGCAGTGCACAACCTGCACCACTGTCTGTAGCAGGCATGGCCTTGTGAAGTATTTTATTGCTATTTAAAATATTATTTTGCCTTTGAAATTTTTTTTTTCTTTCTTTCTTTTTTTTCTTCTGATTTTGAGTTTGTTCTTTTCCTATTTTGAAGCCAACCATCTTGGAGCAGGGTAGATTCATATTTTTGGAGACCCTTTGAAGTATAGGTCCTTGGAATGTGAGTGGGTCCCAGGCACTGGGCTCCTGTGTTCTGGGCCCAGGGCCTGCCTCCAGCCCAGAGTCCCATCTGCAGTCTCTGCCCCCTCAGGTGCCTGTGGCGGGGGCCCCCGGGAAGACTTCCGCTTCTGCGGCCAGCGGAACCAGACGCATAACAGCAGCCTCCATTATAAGCAGGTGTCCCAGCTCCACATCTCCATCAGGAACTCTGAGGAGGCCCTCATCATCCATGCCCCCTTCCCTGGAGTCCACCCGGCTTCTTGGCCGTTCCCTCAGCCCAGGGGCCTCTACCACTTCTGCCTCTACTGGAACCGCCACGCGGGGAAATTGCATCTTCGCTACGGCAAGAAAGACTTCGTGCTGAGTGACCAAGCCCCTGACCTCCTGTGCTTCCGGCATCAGGAGGAGACCCTGGCCCCGGGGCCCCCACTGTTTGCCACCTCTGTCAGCTCCTGGTGGAGCCCCCAGAACACGAGTCTGCCCAGCGCGGCCAGCTTCATCTTCTCCTTCCACAGTAAGGCGACTTCCAGGCAGAAGGAAGGGCTTGGCCCAAGGCCTGGAAATGGGGAAGGCAAAATGCGCGGGGGCTGGGAAGGGGGGCTTAAAGTGGTCTGGGCTGCATGTCAGGTCCTGGAGTTGGGGGGCTCTGTTCACAGGCAGTGGGGACTCAGGGAAGGTGTCTGAGGAGAGGAAGGAGTGTCAGGCAAGGTGTGTTTGTGGGAAGACAGGGGTGAGGGAGGAGGTGAAGTCCCGTCCGCGGCTGCAGCGTAGGTCCAGGTAAAGCAAGACGAGAGATGAACAGGGTGGGAGCAGAGAGAATGGAGAGATGGGACTAGAGGTCTGGAGCCGGAGGAAAAATTCTGCTTAATCAGCCTCATCTAGACTGCTTATCCCCGTTTCACAGAGGAGAAACTGAGGCTCAGAGAGGCCCAAAGTTGCAAGAGTAACAAGTAAGAGAGGGAGCTAGATTTGAACCCAGGAGCTGATTGGCATGGGGCCGCAGGACAGGGAGAGAGGTCAAAGGTCAGGAAGCGGCAAGGCTGGAGGCCGACACTGAGGTCTGCAGACGGAGTCTTCTGGCTGAGATGTGACAGCTGTGGCCTGGCCACTGCCTTCTCTTCAGTGTGGGATGGAGGCAGGGAGCGGGGGCTGGCCAGAAGGAGCCAGAGGCTTTACTTCGGGTCCAGGATTTCCCTGATTCTGGTTCCTTTCAGGCAGCTGCAGTTTGGGGCAAGGCTCCCAAGGGAGGGGGCACAGGGCTTTGAATATGTTAGCATCTCCAGGCCCATGGAAATGCTACGGGGTGGGGGGGAGGCGGGGAGAGGGATGGAAGGGGCAGAGCTGGGGGAGGTGGGGGCGGGTAGATGGGGATCCCTGTCCCCAGGCCCGGATTCTGCCCCAACCTGGGAGGGTTTAGGGCAAAGTCAGGAACAGATGTAAACTAACCTCCTGAAGAGGAGATCTGGCCTGGTCTTACTTGGTCTGTAGAGAGTTTTTGGAAAACATGAGCCAGGGTTTTCAAATGACTGAAAAATCAGGCTTTCTGCCTTAAAAATTCAGATGTGACCACAGGGCCTGCCTTATTTGATGGCATAGGGCCTGCTCCCTCCCCCATATCCCTATTTCCATCTGCTTGCTTCATCAGAGTTCCATCTAACCCCTGGAGATGCCTGAGTCTGTGGCCCTTGGGTGCAGGGTAGCCCAGGGAAGGCCCTGGAGCCACCACAGAAGCCCCCACCCCCCAGCTCCTCCTGAAGGAGGCCTGGCTGGTCCTGAGGAACTGGCCCTCCCAGCTGCCTCTGTGTGGTCAGAAGGATGCCTGGGGTAGGGGTAGGGGTGGTCTAGCCCACCCTGCTGGGGCTGGAGTTGCTGCAGGCTCTGTATGACAGAGCCCCATCTCGCTGGCTACATCTCTGAGTGACCTGGGGGAGTCTACCCCACTACTTGGAGCCTCAGTTTCCTGTTCTGTAAAATGGGGACAGAAGCTGTCAGAGTCACAGGGGGAGTAATTGAGAGTGTGATGAGTGTGGCCTGAGTTGAATGAGTGGAACCCCATTCCACAGCCTTTGGTGGGTCTGTCCGTCCCTCTCCCCAGATCCCCCTCACAAGGCCTCCCACAATGCCTCGGTGAACATATGTGAGCTGAAAAGGGACCTCCAGCGGCTCAGCCAGTTCCTGAAGCATCCCGGGAAGACCTCAAGGAGGCCCCCCTTCACCCCTATGGGCCAGTAAGTGTGGGTCCGCAGCATGTGAGGGCTGAGGAGGAGGCTCCCCCAGACCCGGGCCTGGCAGGAATTTGGAGTGAGAGACCATGGAGACCTCCCCTTGGTCTCCATCTCGATTCAGTCCCACAGGCCAGGACCCCTCACCTGCCTGTATCAGAAAAAAAAAAAAAGTCTCTCTTATTAGCACCCAAGCCCTCCTCTCCACCAATAAGGGAAAAGGATTGACCCATTTTACAGCTCAGCAGACTGAGGCCCAGAGATGGGTAGGGCTGCCCGACGGTGCAAAGTAGGTCGGTCCAGGCAGAACTGGGCCCAGAACCTGGTGGCTGAGTCTGAGGCCCACTCCTTTCCTGTTTGCGCTGAGGCCCCGGTTTCCTCCGCATCACCCCCGCAGGTCATTCTGTCGGGCCCCACACTCTTTCCTGTGTATCAGCCTGAGTTGCCTCTCTGCTCACTCTGTCTTCCTGCCGGCTGGCCTATCTGGATCCCCCCTTCACTCCCAGCAAGTCATCCCCTCCTCTCTCCCCCCTGCTTCCAGGCAGCTGCAGAGCCTGGAGTCGAAGCTGGCCTCTGTGAACTTCACAGGGGACGCCGTGTCCTTCGAGGAGGAGCGGGTCAACGCCACAGTGTGGAAGCTCCAGCCTGACTTCAGTCCACGGGACCTGCACATCCACTCCCCGCGGGAGGTCAGGGGTCAGGATCGGTAGCCAGGGCAGGAAGCAGATGTGCAGGCTGTGAGCGCTCCCTCCCCCCACCCCTCACACGGCCCACCCCCACCCCCACCCCTGGCCTCTGGGAGCCAGATGTGTGCTGATGAGGAAGGCCTCAGGCCCAGAGAGTCAGGCCCAGACCAGTAGCATTGAGGACCCTTCAGGTCACAGCAGTGGGGACAGAACAGGCAGGGACCTGGGCCCCGCCCCAGGGGCTCCTGGGACACATCCCTGTGGACCAACAACCAGTGCCAAAAGGCCTGTGCCTTGATGGGCCTGGTTGCGGGGAGGGACAGCCACCCCCCCCCCATATCCCCCAGCACACCACGGGGCCATAGGCAGGGTCAGTGTCTGACACCCAGACACCAGAATACCACATGATTCTCCCAGGCTCTTATCCCCTGGGAGGGGGATAAGGCTCCCCAGCCAGCCCCAGTGCCAAGGAAAGAAGGAGTGAGCGGGGTTGTTGTGAGTCTGGCTTCGTGAAGGAGGTGGGCTTAGAGGTGGCAGCATGCAGGAAGGCGTGTGCGGGGGGGACATGGCAGGGTCCTGGAGGCCCATTTCTTGCTGAGCCCCAGCAGGTCCTCTGGTCTGCAGGAGGAGCAGAGCGGGATCCTGGAGTACTCGGTGCTGCTGCCTGGTGTGCTCTTCCAGAAGAGCAAGGGCAGGAGGCAGGAGGCCGAGAAGAGACTCCTCTTGGTGGACTTCAGCAGCCAAGCTCTGTTCCAGGTAGGGGTGGTGGTCCTTGTGGCCTCCCTTGGGGAAAGCACCTTCTGTCTGACAGAGAGAGGGAAAGTAGGCATGGAAGGTAGCCCTCTCCTCCAAGAGTCCATGTAAAGTCAGAAATCAGATGGCAACGTGCATGAGCTTTAGAGCTGGGAAAGGCCTAAATGCTGTCATTCTTACTATGGTGTGAATGACTACCTATGCAAGAATTGTTTCCAGAGGGAGATTCAAAATCTGGGAGCAATGTACTGGGAAGAGACAAGAGTGTACTCTTCTTCTCAGTCCTGAGCCCCCTCTCCCCCCATCCTCCATACCCCACTTATCTAGGACAAGAACTCCAGCCAGGTCTTGGGAGAGAAGGTCTTGGGTATTGTTGTGCAGAACACCAAAGTAGCCAACCTCTCGAAGCCCGTGGTGCTCACCTTCCAGCACCAGCCACAGCCGGTGAGTGTGAGCCAAGCAACCCAGGGAAAAAGGGTCCCTGTTTGCCCATGTCCTCCTGTCCCTCCTCTTTTCTGAACTACTCGCCTTTAACAAACTGATTGACTGGCTGAGGGCATTGTCCAGTCAGGTCAAAATAGGGTGGGGCCCTGGCACAGGCTCCCTCGGCCTGGCTGGAAAGGAGTAGACTGTCACAGGGCTCACCCCTTCTTTCTTGTCCCTACAGAAGAACGTGACTCTGCAATGTGTATTCTGGGTTGAAGACCTGACATGTGAGTGTGGAGGGGGCTCTGAGCTGGGCAGGTACCTGGAGGCAGGTAGTTGGGGTCCTAGAGGGTGGGGTAGATGGAGTTAATCAAAGAGGGCTTCCTGGAGGAAGGTGGCTTTGAAGAGGGAGTGATGGCAAGTTAGGGACCTGATGAGGGAAGCAAAAATTCAGAAGGGGGATGCAGTCATGCATTTGTGGGGTATTGGGGGTGACAGTTGGGGTGCTGAGCTTGATCTCAGAGCCTCATGCTGGCCCTTCCTCAGCGAGCAGTCCGGGGAGCTGGAGTGATGTGGGGTGTGAGACCATCAGGAAAGAGACACAGACATCCTGCCACTGCAACCACTTGACCTACTTTGCAGTGCTGATGGTATGTGACCCCCTCCTGCCCCACTGCCGCCACTTCTCATATATATGTCATTCATTCCTCACAACAAGCCTCAAGATGACTCCTGTTGTTGTCCTGTTTTATTGATAAGGAAACTGAGGCTCAGAGAGGTTAGGCAATTTACCCAAGGTCACACAGCTAGTAGTAAGTAAAAGGTCTTTGAAGTCCTTGCTCTTTATCCCCAAATTTGGGTGCCTGATACAAACGCAGGTTCCAGGTCCTAACCTAGAATTCTGATTCTAAAGGGCTGGGGTGGGGGCAGGACTGTGTTTCTATAGAACCTTCCAGGGGATGCTGAGGCCTAATGCAGAGGCCCTTGCGGTAGACTTCGGTGCCCTCCTCCCCAAGATCTCTCTGTGTCCTACATTCATTCTCCCAGAATTTTAGGACCCAGCATCCGAGGGACCAGCATCTGAGGGACCAGAGTGGTCCTCTGGTGCTCTCTGGGTATTGGGAGCTCACTCGCTCCCAGGAGACTTATTTCTGGGTTGAGTGTTCTAGAAACATATTTAGTGTCAGGGCAGAAAAGGGGTTCTTTGGTGGAGGCCACTGGACCTTGGTGGGGACAGGGATCCATATGTGGTGAAAAAATGTACTCATGGGACTACACTTTGCTCTGCTGGGGGGCAAGAGTGGCTCATAGATGCCCAAGGTCCTCCAGGGACCACAGATTAGCCCTCCCTCTGGGCAAACCCTCAGCACAGAGGCCAACCCCGACCTGCCCTGTGGCCCCAGGTCGCCTCCGTGGAGGTGGACGCCGTCCACAAGCACTATCTGACCCTCCTCTCCTACGTGGGCTGCGTCATCTCCGCCCTGGCCTGCGTCCTCACCATGGCTGCCTACCTCTGCTCCAGGTAGGGCCTGGGGCTGGGAGGGAAAGGGAGGGGACAGCCTCTATGCCCGGCCCCTGAGCTAGGACCCCACAATCAGGGAGACCCACCCTGGAGACTGGCCTGACTGACCCTGACGTGTGTGTGTGTGTGTATGTGGTTTGTGGGAGCCCTGGGAGGTTTGGTCCGCTGACCTTTCTCCTCAGATCTGTGATGTTTGGATAACATCGCAATGACAGTTTATATTAGCTGCCAATATTTAAAATTGGGCGAGTTGACATAAGAATCTAGATTCCTGTCTTTGAAGAACCAGATATGATTCCACTGGGGGCATATAGTAACATGATGATGCTGGTGATGATAATGGTGAACAATTACATCAAGCTTCCCACATGCCACACCGTTTTTTTTTTGAGCATATAGAATACATTCCTTTATTTTAAACATCCCATTGTTTTCCTCTATTTTAAATGCATTTCAATACTTTATTTGCTTAAAGGCTACTCAAAGATTTGCAATTTTTTTTAGTGCAATTTTTTTTAAAGAAAATTTATTTATTTTAATTGGAGGCTAATTACTTTACAATATTGTAGTGGGTTTTGCCATACATTGACATGAATCAGCCATGGGCACACCCTGTTCTAAGTGCTTTATAGACGTGAACTGGGTTCATCCTCACAAGGGTCCTATGAAAGAGTGCTCAGAGAGGGTAAGAGACCTGACCGAGATCACACAGCATGGAAGTGGCGGAAGCAGGCTTGAATGGAAGCAGGCAGGCTCCCGGTCCACAGGCCCCAGTTACTGAGCTCTCTGGCAGTGGCCTCTGTGGACAGGCAGAGCCTGCAGCGTTCTCCCCAGCCCCCATCCCCTGGTGTCTGTTTTGAGGCCCGGCCTCCTAGCTCCATGAACCTGTCTCCCTAGTCATTTGGGTGCCTGAGAAGAGGTCACCTTTGGCAGAGTGAAGAATGTCGCCCCCACCCTCAGACAGGCTTGTGTGTGGGGCCTGGATTGTCAGCACTGGGCTTTGCCTAAACTGAATCTACCTGCAGCTGGGGCCTGGAGCCACTGGGGCAGACGGGAAACAGCCTTAGCTCTGGAGTGACACTTGGAGCGTGCTCACTGTCCTCGTGGGGAGGAGGGGAGGAGGAGCCGTGTGCAGGACCGTCACAGACACACACGTGGTGGACTGCAGTCGGTGACGGAGAGAGACGGCTGGCAGGCTTAGTGGAGGGCCAGGAGTGGGGGCACAAGCCCCCCAGCCCACTGATCACAAAAGTGCCCCAGGACACAGAGACAGGAACCCTTCGGGACTGAGCATCTTATCTGTGCCGGGTGCTTTATATCAGTGTAACCCTCACCCCACCCTTGAGGGGGGCCAGTTCTCCCACTTCACAGATGAGTAAACTGGGGGTGAGGGGGGTGGGGCCAGCCAATAGTGGTGCCTTGTGTTAGGGGCAGGGCAGGCATGGAAATCCAGGATGGCAGATGTTCTTCTGTGCCCTCTGGAACAGGCAGTGGATGGTGCCAGGCAGGGCACACTGGGGGCGGAAAGGCTGATGGTGCCATGGACCACATAGTATCTTGGGATGGGGGCAGGGCATGCACACACAGGCTTGCAGACTCAAGGACCCTGGCACACACAGCCTGTGCTCACAGATGTACAGTTGTGCAGACAGACACAGACATGGAACATGGGTGGCATGGATTCTCCAAAACAGCAAAAATTCCAGTCTTTCCCTTCTGACTTTGGGAGCATCTGGTTGATGGTCATGTCTGTGTTGATTGGAGCATCCGTGCCTAGCTGAGACTGCTGTTAAATGCACACATGGTGCCCAAGCCTGTGGGTGCTGGGTACAGGGTAGATGCAGAGGGACAGGTGGGCAAGAGCCTGGCTGCAGCCACAAGAGTAGGATAGGAAGAGTGTGTGTCTCTGTGTGTGTGTGTGTGTGTGTGTGTGTGTGTGTGTAGTCTGGGAAAACTGCCTGGAGGAGGAGGGGTGGGTGGGGCCTCCCTCCCACCTCCCTCCCACCTCCCTCCCACCTCCCTCCCACCTCCCTCCCACCTCCCTGCCTTCTCACACTGGCTGCCAGAGTGTCCCTGTCTGCCCACCCCCGACCTGTGCAGGAGGAAATCTAGGGATTATACCATCAAGGTTCACATGAACCTGCTGCTGGCCATCTTCCTGCTGGACGTGAGCTTCCTGCTTAGCGAGCCAGTGGCCTTGTCAGGCTCCGAGGCTGCCTGCCGTGCCAGCGCCATCTTCCTGCACTTCTCTCTGCTCGCCTGCCTCTCCTGGATGGGCCTCGAGGGCTACAACCTCTACCGACTTGTGGTTGAGGTCTTCGGCACCTATGTTCCAGGCTACCTGCTCAAGCTAAGCATCGTGGGCTGGGGTAAGTTAGTGGCAGGGGGGGAGGGTTGTGGGTTCCCCCCAGACCTGCCTCTTCCTCTTGGCTTTTGACAAAAGGTGGGCACTTCAGTCTACTTCTCCACCTACACTTCTGATTATTCCCTCACTGCTTTCCTTCACTCACCCATCCTCAGGGGTTCTTTACCTTGGCTGGATCAAGGTCCTCTTTAGGAGGATGAGGTGATGAGCCCTGTCTCCAATAAAAGCTTACATATTCTCTTCATCTCTGTTTCACAAGTGGGGTTTGCAGACAGAGCCACCATGTACAGATGTGCAGGTTGTGCACTGCTCAAAGGCACCCAGTTGTGGATGCATGGGGCTGTAATCCAGTCCTCACATAATTCACCTAGGCTGGTGGTGGCCCAGTCTGTGGACCCCGATGAACCTCAGATAACAGATTCCCAATGGCTCTGGCATTTGTTCTTAGCCAATAGCAACCCAAGTCACCTATGGCCTGACCTCTCTTTTGTCAGACCCGAGGCCTAAGGGCACACACCACAAGTCCTTTTGATCACTGCGTGGGCCCATCAACCTCCACATGACTCTGATCCCAACTTGCTGCTGCTCCCATATTTTTCATTTGGTTCTTTCTTGGTTCATATCATTGATTTATATGAAATTCCCTCAGAATTGGCTGTTTGTCAAAATCCAGGTGTTTAATGGTGGGCAACCCCTTCCAGGGAGCTCTCAGTCTCCACTTCATGGATAGAGTCAAGGCCCAGAACAGACATCCCTTTGGGGCATAACTCTAGATGTCCCCCATTGAACTGTCCTCCACCCCACCAATGTCTGCTTCTCCCATTTCTCCTGTGACATCCAGCCCCCCATCAGGGACCTGCTGGCCCTTACCCAGGGCCTCCCAGGATGCTGAGGGGGCAGGGGTTAGGTTAGGGGAGATAGGCCCCCCTTTGGGAAACCAGGAGCTTCCTTCATAGCTCAGTTGGTAAAAAATCTGCCTGCAATGCAGAAGACCCAGGTTCAATCCCTGGGCCAGGAAGATCCCCTGGAGAAGGAAATGGCAATCCACTCCAGTATCCTTGCCTGGAGAATCCCATGGACAGAGGAGCCTGGTGGGCTACAGTCCATGGGGTCGCAAGAGTTGGACACGACTTGGGAAGCCAGAACTGAATAGAAAAGGGAGGGTCCGAGCTTGGAGGACTTGCCCCAGGTGGAGCTGGCTGGGCTCTGGGAGCACAGGTCCTGGAGGGAACGTGAGAGGAGGATGGCTCACCAGAGGGAAGGGGAGGGCAGACCTGGGAAGGTGGGAGACGGAGCTCCCTGCTTTACTGCCCACAGGCTTCCCCGTTTTCCTGGTGATGCTGGTGGCACTGGTGGACGTGAACAACTATGGTCACATCATCCTTGCAGTGCACAAGACCCCTGAGAGTGTCATCTACCCTTCCATGTGAGTGGCCTGTGCAGTGGAGGCAGGAGTGTGGGCCTCCTGGTGCAGAAGTTAGAGCAGCCTGGGCCCAGGTCACACTTACCAGGAGACTCTTGGGTGCCGGGTGCTGGAGGTACTGGCCTGGCCTTGGCTGGAGCTCTGGGCTAAGGGTGATGCTTCTCTCAGGGAGGGTGAGAACAGGCCTGGATCTGCCACTCACTTGCCAGATAACCTTGCACAGGTCCTGGCCCTTCTCTGGGCCTCAATTTCCCCACTTGTGTGTAGAAGTCTGGGCTGGAGCAGATGAACCTTTAACATGTTCCTTTGCTGCACACTTCTATCTCCCTCCCCATGGAAAGATAGAAAGACTGAGTCCCAGAGAAGGCAGGGATCCACACCACCCTGCTCAAAGGTACCCAACCAGGAGATGAATGGGGCTGAAATCCAGTCCTACATTCAGCTAATTCACCCAGGCTGGTGGTGGCCTGGCCTGTGAGTCTCTCTGAACCTAGAGTAGAATCCAGAGCTCCTGAGCCCTAGGCTAGGAAGGAATCCTTTCCATTCCTTCAGTGTTTTAAAACTTTCAGTTTTTTGCACCATAATCTTGTGATTTTTGCCTTACTTTGTATCATCTGTATTATTTATTGCTTAATTTTTTCTTTAAATCTTCTGGCTTGTTAAATGTATTTTTTTAAGTCATATTACACATAAATGGGAAATAAGCATTACTTGTCATAAACAGTGGATAGTCATGAAAGCAAAACCAGGAACAAGAAAACCCTGCTACTAAATTCTTGATGAAAGCAGTGAGCCTAAGTCTGGCACTTTTTGAAAAGGGAGACTAGCAAGTGTTAAAAGTGTTAAAAACGTATTGGCACCAAACTGAGCCTTGCTCTTGACTATAGAGAAGGAATATAGGATAGTTGAAAGAAGAGTGACTTTTTGGCCCTTGGATCAGTGGTGTCTAAAGTAACTGCCCTGTAACGAGCTCACCATGGTGCTTGCCCACGGCTCAGGAAGCACCATGTGAGCCCAGCTTTGCCCTGAGCCTTTGTACGCTTGCTCACAGGTGCTGGATCCGGGACTCCTTGATCAGCCATGTCACCAACTTGGGCCTGTTCAGCCTGGTGTTTCTGTTCAACACGGCCATGCTGGGCACCATGGTGGTGCAGATCCTGCGGCTGCGCCCACACGCCCAGAAGTGGCCCCACGTGCTGACCCTGCTGGGCCTCAGTCTGGTCCTCGGCCTGCCCTGGGCCATGGTCTTCTTCTCCTTTGCTTCTGGCACCTTCCAGCTTGTTGTCCTCTACTTCTTCAGCATCATCACCTCCTTCCAAGGTAGGTGTGGAGAAGACCCCAGACCCTGGCCCAGGAAGGGTGCCCAGGCCTAGAGAACAGGCCACGGATGAGTTGACCCAGACGACCTGAAGCCTCCCCCTCTCTGGGCCTCAACCTTCCCGTTCGTAAAGTGGGGGCCTCTGGGCCACAATGGATAAGTCACTGTTTGTACAATAGGTACTGACGAGTACCTACTCTGTGTAGATTCTGTGTTAAGCCCTGGTGCTCCAGTTGTAAACTAGCCAGGCAAGAGCCTTGCTTCGCAGAGCTCATCTCTAGTGGGGAAGACCAAGTGTGGCCCTGAAGACCACGGGCCACAGGCATCAAAGGGCATCTGGGAGAGGAAGGAAGCAATAGTGGGCAAGGTGATAGACAGTCTGAGCCTGCTGGGGGACACTCAGGGAACGGAGGGCCCTCCGTTTAGGAGACATCCAAAGACGACAGAAGGATCCAGCCATGGATCCAGGGTGCCCTCCACTTCGCCTCCCTCATGCCCCACCCCCGTTGCACGGGGACCCCATGGAGGCCTCGCCTTCCCTGTTATCCTGCCCAAGTCCTCCTACCCAGCATGGTGAGAAACAAAGGTGGATCTCTCTACCCATGGAGAGATCAAGGGTCCCATTACCCCAAGGGTATTTCTTGGACCAGCAGCATCAGGAGCTTATTGCAGACGCCGCCTCTAGGCCACCCCAGACCTGCTGAGTCAGAGTCCTCCTTGTTACAGATGCCCAGGCACACCTTACAGGCTGAGGAGACCTGGTCTAGGACTGGAGTGCTCCAGGCAGAGGGAGAAGCGTGAGCAAAGGTCCTGAGGCTAGAAGTAGGGTGTGTGTTGGAGGAACCCGGAGGAGGAGCTGCGTAAGGGGTAGTGAGCTTGGGGGGACACGGGGAGGAGGTGAGGGGGGAGGAGCAGAGGGGCTGGATCGTGGGGGCCTGGCTTGATGCCATGAGGGTCTGTTCCTGATCTACCTGCACCCTGCTTCCCCCACACCCCCAACATCTCTCACACACACACGCGCACGCGCACGCACACACACACACATACACACACACACACACACACACACACGCACCCACACACCACACACACCTTTGTTTTCCACCATGTTGGGTAAGGAGGAAGGCTTGGGCAGGAAAACAGGGAACACAAGGTGGCCCCAGACCCTGACCACTACTGCTGGACTCCTGGCTCAGCCAAGCCCCTTATCTCCCCTGGGCCTCAGTCTCCCTGTTTGTAAAACAGAATGATAATAACGAGGCCTGGTCTCAAGGGACCTGGAGAGAATAAAGTGAGATGATACATAGAGCGTTGTCCAGTGCCTGGCACAGAGTTGGTACCCCTGGGATCGAGTCAGTGTGGGGAGCCTGTGAGGGGGGTGTGGGCAGACATGGGTCAAAATGGAAGGGAGTGGTGTTGGGGTGGCTGCCCCCAGCCTCTGAGCCCTGTACCCCCTTGCCGCCCACAGGCTTCCTCATTTTCCTCTGGTACTGGTCCATGCGCCTGCAGGCCCGGGGTGGGCCTTCCCCTCTGAAGAGCAACTCGGACAGCGCCAGGCTCCCCATCAGCTCGGGCAGCACCTCGTCCAGCCGCATCTAGGCCGCCAGCGCCCCCCGCCGGTGTGAAGAAGCAGAGTCACCTGTCTCTCTTCACTGCTGCCTGCTGCCCCTGCAGCCCGGCCCGGCCCTGGGTGGGCCAGCTGAAGACTTGAGAAGGCCCGAGGACCATGGAGGGATGGGGCTGTTGCCATGGCAGCCAGAAATTCCCAGGCTGGGCCTTCTGACTATTTGCCTCTTGGGTCCATCCCAGGGGGCCCAGGAGTGGAACTGAAGGCTGGTCTTAATGCACCACCACTGGACCAGCCCTTGTAGCTGGGGGTTGGGAGTCTGCAGGACTTGAACCTTGGAGGCTGGCGGCACCCTTGGTCCTGGGCTCCCGCCCAGGACAGAAATGTGCCATGGCTGCTCTGTCTCTGGTGATCACCACAAGGGTACTCTGTAGCCCTGATTATTTTAACCTAAGAATGGCAGGCAGGGAAAATGGGTTGAGGCAGAGCTTTGAGCCAGACCCCTGGAGGAGCACAGCTTCCCTACCTCTGAGCCCAGGGCCCTCCCCCTTTGTCAGCCTCCCCAGCCTTCCCTCTCCCTTTCCTGCTCCTCCCTTCCTCTCCTAGGACCTCCCTAGCCTTCCACTCACAGCCCCAGGGTCCCTGATTCCAACCCTGGACTTTGGGCAGTGGTTCCCAAGAGCCGCCTGGTGCCTGCTGTAAACCTTTATTTACTGTGTGGGCCTTTGACTGCCCCTGACTCAGGCTTAGTAGAAACATTTCTGGGCTGGGCTAGGTCCATCTTTCCATCTGGGCCTCTCCAATGCTGCATCACCCTTGCTCACCACTGCCAAGCCCACACCTCATAGGGGCCCACAGCTTCTCCCGAAGCCCTCTTGCTTCACAAACTATGGGACATCGCAGTCCAAAATCGTTTCCACCGCAGCCCTGCAAAGACTGAGACTCGCCTCCCCTGATATTGCTGGTAGAGCCTGACGTGCCCCTTAGCGCCCCCTGCAGGCAGTTTTTATCACACCACAGCCAGTCACAGTTAATTCTGTTGGACACGAACTGCCAGACCTGGTCGTTCCCCTCTGCGAGTTGTCAGTCTAGTGTGGAAACCATGCACAACCACGAGAACTCTTAGAGCTGCAGGCACAGGGTTGGGAGAACCATCACTCCTAGCTGGGATTCCAGGAAGACTTCCTGCAGGAGAGCAACATTTGATCTGGCTCTCAGACTTAAAGATAGGGAGGATTTCCTTTGTAATTACCAGTGCATTTGTCTTTTGATATTAAAAAGAAGTTTGTGTTCATCGTAGAGAATTTGGAAGCTGTAGAAGGGTACACAGAAGAAAATAAAAGTTGTCACCTAACCAACAAATGCAAACATTTGGGGGGGGGGGGCGCGTTTCCTCCTGAACTTTGCTCTGTGCTTCTGTTAAGAGTCACCGATAGGGGTGGGGCAGGGGGCCCAACGGAGAAAGACGAACAAGAGAAGACGGCCATGTATAAAAGAAATCTACTGGGAATATTATCAGGGCAAGGGGCAGGAGAAATGGCAACTGGGTGTCAGCATTGGGGAGGCAGTGGCAAGTGGTGGGGTCAGTGGGGGACTGAAGGTTGCAAGCCTCACGCTGAGGGTGCAGTTGCTACTCAGCTCGAGCCGATCACCATCTTGCAGGAATGAGGGCCTGTGTAGCCAGACCCCACCTGCCTTTTACAAGGAGAAATCCAGATTGTGCTGGTGTAAAATCCCCTGATTTAAAAAACTTGACTAGGGACTTCCCTGGTGGTCCAGTGGCTAAGACTCCACACTCCCAGTGTAGGGGGCCCGGGTTTGATCCCTGGTCAGGAAACTAGACCCCACGTGCCTCAACTAAAAAAATCCCGCATGCTGCTACTGAAGATGTCACTTGCCACAATGATCAAAGATCTCTCAACCTGCATGCAGCAACTAAGACCTGGAGCAGCCACATAGTTAAATAAAAATAATAAATATGAAAAAAAACCCTTGGCTAATCCAAAATATTAGCTGGTCAAAGAAATCACATTTGAGGGCTGAATGCAGCCCTTGGCTGGTCACTGGACATATGTAACCAGTTTACTGACCAGTGTGCAGTGGGTGGGCTGCAGGAATAAGCTGATTGGACCTCTTTCCCATCACTGCCTTCCACCTTGTCCCGTCAAGTCTTCCCTCTCTGTCCTGTGACACAGGTGAGGCGGGTCAAATAGCTTCTTATCCCCCTTCAGTTACAGGAAGGAGTCTTGTTTAATCATGGCTCTTTGTGTCTAAAAGTCCAGTGTAGCTCCAGCCCCGGCCCGCATCTGAGCTTTCTGTCCCCACGATCTCCTCCTTCCTGTCCTGGCTGCTCCAGGAGGAACATGGACTGGGGAAAGAGACACGGCCTCCAGAGATGGACAGGAAGGGGGTGAAGTGCCTTGGCAGCCAGGGATGGGCCGGCAGTGATGTGACAGGCTTGAATGTGGAATCTTTGGGTACCTGCCCAGACCTGATTGCATCAGCCCCTGCCTCTGCCTTTCTCCAAGTGGTGGGCTCCTCTTGTGCCCCAGCCCCTGAAGGCAGAGGACAGACCTCCTCGCCCACTCCATAGTCCCAATTGCGCATCTGGGTGGGATGCAAAGAGATCAGGGCCATCTCCCCTCAAGGACCTCTCTGGGGGTCTCTCAGACTTCCGTTACTTGACTAGACCTTAGGAAACACCTCCAGCCATCCTCAGGGAGGGCAGGAAGGCAGACCCAGCCCCTTCCCCCAGGCTGGTAGCACTCCCCTCAAACAAGTTTTCCCACTTCAAAGGACTCTCTTAGCACCTAATGTCTGTCTCCGGGGCCAGCTCAGGTAGTGGGGACCAGGTTTCTGGTCGGGTCTCATCCTCTCCTGACAGCCCTGAACGGGCCATCTGACAGCTCCGTGGTGCTCCTCAACCCACACGGTTCTTATCACGCACGTCTCCGGGCTGTGGGACTGTGGACAGTAGGACCACTGGTCCCACCAGGCTTGTCTCCCCCTTGGTGTGGGAGATGGACTGGGAGCCTCCAAACCTGGAACCATTTGGGCAAGCTGAGCGTGGGAGATGGCTGGAGGGGGAGGTTTTCCTGGGACTCCCCAAGGCTCTAAGTGGCTCCAGGCTAAGCTCCAGCCCCGTGGGGCCTAGGAGAGGCGGCCCCTGCTCTGGCTCTGCCAGACCCTCGCTCGTCACTTGGCCAGTCCCCGGTCCTGTCTTCCCAGATGGGCAGCACACTCTGGGTTCCGGTCTGCAGGGCTCAGGCTCTCCTTTACAAAAAGGCACCCAGGAGTCCCTCTGGGAGCCCCAGGTGCCAGGCGGGTCTCCAGGGGTGGAACCTAGCGGTCATGGTTCACAGAGCCCTTGCCCTGACCTGCGGCTGGGAGGGAGGAGGCGGCCAGCCAGGTGGAGGTGGGCGGAGGGGCAGGCCAGTGGCCCCCATTCACCCTCCCAGCCTTCCCTGCAGAGGAAGCACCTGCGGTCCTGCCAGATTCCCACCTGCCTGCTGTGTGGCCCCGACCCTCCCGGGGCCCAGAGGGCCTAGCAGGAGGCTGAGTCCTGTCTGGACACTGTGTGGGAGGAAGAGGAAAGAGAGGCCAGCCAGGGCTGGGCGGGCCTACCCATCTCTCTAGTCTTCCCCGTGCCTCGTAAGAAACAGAGGTTAGCTCACGCAAGCTCAGGCAGCCGGGAAGTGGCCAGGACAGACGTCAGCCCGGCTCTGACCAAGCCCCAGGGCCCTCGCTCACGTCTCTCCTGTTATTCCATCTGCTGGGAAGGGGAGGGGAGTGGTCCCAGAGGGCTCCAGGCCTGGCTCCTCCTCTCCTCCCAGGACGCTAGCAGGCCTGGGCTTGAGCCTTGGTCTTGTTCGGAGGAGGGAGAGCGAACGCTCTCCCCATCTTCATCTTCGTCCCTACAGCCGGGTTGCGTGCCTGGCGTATGACGGGTCTCCTCACACACCCGACACCCTAGGAGGCATTGCTGCGTTGCCGTGTCTGTTTTGGTGGTTTAGTCGCTCAGTCGTGCCTGACTCTTGCGACCCCATGGACTGTAGCCCACCAGGCTCCTCTGTCTGTGGGATTTTCCAGGCAAGAATACTGGACTGGGTTTCCATTTCCTCCTCCAGGAGATCTTCCCAACCCAGGGATCAAACCCTGGTCTCCTGAGCTGCAGGCCATCTCCTACAATGCAGGCGAATTCTTTACCCACTGGGCCACCTGGTGTCTGTTTTACAAAGTGGGGGTATTGAGGCTCAGAGAGGCCCCTTGTTTGTGAAAGGAGGATCTGAGAAAAGAATTCTTGGTTCCAAAGCCCAGGCTCATCATCACTCCCCAAGAGCCTGCTCAGAGCTTCTGTGGCCCCTGGATCCCCACACCCACCCAGATAAGACCCCAGGAGCAGTGTCCCTGGGGTGGGTTCAGCAGCTCTCAGGGAGTCTGGGCCCCTCTGCAGGTGGTCATGGGGCGGGGTGAGGCTAGGAACACTGCCCAGTTCCCCACACTCACCTTTCACAACTTAACCGACGGTGCCATGGCACAGGAAGGGTGAGAAAGAGGCCGCAGGAAGTGGTGACGCTGCGGGATGGGGGCCAGGGAGGGCCGGCTCAGCAGAGCCTGGGACCAGAAGGACACACAGCTGCAGGGCTCTGGCCGGCGTGGACGAGGCTGGCCCAGGATGGTGGCGCCCAGGGCCCTGGGGGTCCTGCTACTCCTGCATCTGGCCCCAGGTGAGCAGTGGGCTCCTCACCCCCTCCTGCCAAGCCTGGGAGAGCCAGGGTCGGGGATGGGGAGGGGTGGGGAGGGGGCATGTCCGGAGCGTGTCCTCTGGGAGCCCACCCTGATGGCCGCCTCACCTCCTCTGACCTCTGGGTCAGTTTTACTGTCCTGATAAACTTGGGTCAGCCTTCGTCTTCGGTCCCCTTGGCTTATCTGCACAGCACCCTGGAGATGGGAGGGGGCCGTGGAGGGTGCTCCCCACCCCTACACCTCAGGCTGTGCTCTCTGACAGTCATGGCTCCGGGACATGGGGTGA